GGATAAGCTCATATATGAGGGATTATCAAAAAATTTAGAAAAACTTAATGAAGCTATTTGCAGTACTTCTAAGATCAGTGCTCAGGAGATTATAATTTGGAGGATAATTTTGCATTTTGCATAGTGAGTAACTCTTGTCTGAAATGTGGTTTATCAATAAATTCCACTGGACTTTAACCCTTTGATGAGAATACAGGAGTAAGTTTTTTCTCTTTTCACTGGAGTTGTGAGAGTCAGTAGAGCAGGCAAGAAATACACATTTCTGATGCTGGGACATTTCACACTAACACCATCATTTTCATAAGGTTTTTGAATGTTCCCCATCAGCAGTACATCACTACTTCAGTTTTCACATCAGTGCTGACAGCAACCAGATAGAAGAGAGCAATCTTTATATAGATTATATAGATTTTATGTCTTATAAAGATGACAAATTGTATTGAAAACTGACTCATTCTTGTTTGTTGAGGACCTCAGGTTCCTTTGTCTCTGCAAGCAGATGGTGCTTATGTGCTCGTTTATTATTTACTTAGCCAAGATCTTTGAGGTCAGCATGGTGGAATTACTGGAGTTTAAGTTTTCTGTAGTGTACCCATATACTGTTCTTGTCTCAGCTTTGTGAATTACATGGTCTTCAGTCTGTGCACAGACTAGATCTTTACCTTGTCCTTTTGTTCTGAACACCAGCCTACAGTATTTGATTTTCAGAGTAGAATGGTAAACAAAAAGGAGTGGTCTTTAGAGCGAAGAAATTTCAAATGCTAGTAAATTTAGATTAGGCCTGGGCAGTTTTTCAGATTATCACTGCTCGTGTGTTAAATTTTTAGTGTTTCTTTCCCACATTATTATTGTTATGTGTAACCTCATGGGAACTTTTTGTTTTTTGTTTGTGTGTTTGGTTTTTTTAAGTGTCATGACTTTGGTGTAATATATTTCTTTAACAACACAAGAAATGGCGGTGATATGAGTAGGTCATCACTCTAACTATACCTGCTGCACTGTTTCACATACATCTTATAAAATCCAAATTTTGCAAAAGTTGTTTTCCTCAAAGGAAAATTCCAGATAGAGTTAACTAGCTTCTTGCATCAAGTGTGTTTGTTGTCCTCTCTGTGTTGTGTGTCTTGCTTATAGAACAAAAATACATATGCTACTATCAATAAATCTTAAGCACAAATGACACTTGCATCTGAGGTGCTCAGGGATATTTGTATTGTTTACACCCACTTTCTTGTTACCTGCTGTAAGATTATTTAGTTTCTATATTCTTCTAACAAATTATTTAAACAGTTCAGGGATTGTACTACGCTGTGCATCTTTGAGTGTGGAGCACGTCCTCTGTGAAATTTACTTGTATTTCACTTGTATTTACTTACATTCAAGGTGGTTTTTTAAAGTTTGTTCATAAGGTCAAATGTAGGAGGATGATGTGGTTGAAGTGTGCAGTTAAATTAACATGAAAGTAGGTTCAGAGATCTTTGTAGTGCAGTAAAAATGGCATGCAGTAGTTTTGGTTAGGCTTCTAAGTTGTTGTTTATCAGGTGTTTAAAATACCAGTTTAAGAGATAATCTCTGATATTCTCTATAGAGGAAAAATTGAGAAAATAAAACAGTAAAGGATGATTTTTGTCAGTGTCTTTCCCAAAATGCTTCACAAGTATGCAACCCTATTTGTTGAGGTATGTTAGGAAGCCTCTGCTGGCTCCAGTGGCCTCCAGGGTTGGCACATTTGTCCTGCCTTGCTGTACGTGGAGCCCAGCTGTACATGCGCCTCTGGCTCAGGCTTTGAGGAGAAGTTAAACAGAGGTCCCTCCAGTCAGCGTCCCTGTGACCTCTCACGCATAGGTGGGCACTCAGGGCCCTCCAGTTGCTGATGCACACCTACAAGCTTGGTGATCCATGGTTGCTTTTCCTGTTGCTGACACCCTGACCTTCCTTGCACTTTGATCCCTCCAGCTGCTGGCACCTTGGGCACATGGTCCTGACGGCTGGTGATCCCCACTCCAGCCTCTGGCATGTGGACCCTCACTTGCTGCAGTCACTGGCACTACTGGCAAGTGGGTCCAATGACCCATGATCCCACTGCCGTTGCTGGCATCTGCTTTTACTTGCTGTGGTCTCAAGTTGCTGGCATGCAGGCTTATCTGAAGTTACTTGCAATGAGACCTCGCAGCGCCCACAGGTGGGACAGAGAGTGGAGTTGCACAGAAAGATATTTAGGAGAGGATTTAATAAGACAGGATAGACCACAGTGATCAGGCACAGGGCTCAGAGAAGTGCACTGACTGGCGCCTGCCTATACGTGACTTGGAGGCCCCTTTAGCCTCCCTGCTCTCGCTTTGCCCCTGCCTCCAGCCTGTGCCTCACCACCCTCTCTCCCCCACCTTTGACACTTCCCTGAAGTGTTGCTTAATGAGTTTGTATAGATCCACAGGCGCCGTCAGATATCCAGGGTACTCATGTTCTGTCACTTCCCCCTTATCTATTACAAAGTCCAGGCTGATGCTCTTCAGAGCTATGCCTGTGGTTTCTTAATGGCCTGTCAATTAATGACTGAAGAGTTTTGGTCATGTTTATGATCTCCTTGAGTGCTTACTTATCAGGTTTGTGTCTCTGTGTGGTCTTTTTATATCTTTCCCTGTTACTTAGTATTTTCTGTGAGCTGAAAAGGTCCTTTACCTGATAACGATAATGAACCAGATGCACTCACCTTCCACATGCCCTTATGTTCTCTTTTTAGCCATATCTTTGAGGGCAAGTGATGGTGAGGTAATTCCAAGTAGCTTCTGTGAACAGGAACTTGAACTAATGGAGGCATTAGACAAAGAATATTACGGGTTTAGATAGGCACAGAGTATGAAATAAATAATAGATGAGCAACGTTTAAAGTAGATTTTATGATGAAAGACATGTTTCAAGCTAAGCAAGGTTAAGGGGTGCCATCAGACTGTCTGCAAGTAACTTTTATTAACTTGAGTAGTGAAAGCTGTCACTGTACTGAGTTAAGGGTAGCACAGATTTAAACTATTAGAAAATTACCTATTATCTGTATCTCAAATTTGATTTCTGCAGAATTTCTATTTTTACTTCTACGAATGTGCAACAAGGAGAGAGCTTGTTTCGAAACTTCTGTCACAGGGTAATAAGGAATCTTAATCTGTACAGTTGTGATGATTGTTCATACGGAAGTTTTTTCCTATAAACGGAATGTAATTTTTAAAAGTATGATTATGTTGCAATGATAGCTAAATAGGTTACACTGAAATGATTCTTTTATACATTTTTGAGATTTGTCAAGATACAAATAACTTGTCTCACTGTTTATTTTGTGTTCTTAGAGGAAATTGCCATAATCACACTATGAATGCTTAAACAAGTAAAATTTTTATACAGTTTCACCACTGCTATATCTTTTTTTGTTTGCAGAATCCAGTTGTGTCCAGTTCCAGCTGGTCAGAAATAGATGTGCTGATTCTGGCTGGAACAGTTGGCCATGTTCTGAGTTTGGGGGCAAGCAGTTTTATAGAAGAGGAACACCAAACCTGGTATTTTCTTATCAATACACTTTGTTTGGTGTTATGTCAGGAACTTTGCAGAAACAATTTTCTTCTGAAAGAATGTGACGCTCAACATAGCGCTACTGTGAAACAAAATTTTGATAGTATTGAGGAAGCTTCTGAGTGCAAGAATATAGACATTCCAGCAGAAAGTAATTCAAAACTGGGCAAGGCCACCTCTTCAGCTGAATTCATAAAAGGATCAGATAAGTGGATAAGTTTAGCAAGTCCATGGATCATCCTTATTTGCTGTCGGCTACTTCGATCCTTGAATCAGACAGGCGTCCAGTGGGCTCATCGGCCAGACTTTGGACATTGGTTGACAAGGTGGGTATCTGATTTATTGTCATACTTTCTGTCTTATTTAAGTATTAATGCATGTTTCGTTTGGTGAAATATGTATACATTTCTATACATTCTCTGTTTAGAAAGTGCTGTAAACATGTAAGGTGAGTAGACAGTGAAGTAACATAAGGGATTTTTCACTCCTATTTCATGCAGGAGTAATTCCTTCTGTACCATCAATTGTTTATAATCTTTGCCCTGCAGCATGACTTATCTAGTAAATGCCAGTTATACACGATAGGTTTATCAGAGGCAAAATGTAAATATTCTCCTGTGTAAGTCAACAGTGTCTGATTTTGAAAATTAAAAATCACTTAATAGAATTAAACACTTGAAATTAAGGCAGAAGGTTCTGCTCAATTCCAAACTTTATGAAGTTGTAGGAAAAGATGCTGTGCATAGAATTCTTCCTTGTCTATCACAGACATTTAACATGTGGGTGGAAAACTGAGGGAATTCTTCTAATGTAGTATGATAAACAAGAAAGAGAATTTTTTACAACTGGAGAAGGGCTTCTACTTTTTCTACTACCTTTTAGTATTGTGAAGAACTACAGTCATTCATTGATAAAAAGTACTTGATATTTTAACTGCCTTCTCTACTTCAGCTGGTGGATGGAGAAGCAATACCTTGTGACTGACTAGTCAAGGTTTTGCAGACAGCAGATGGGGAGCTGTGCTGTGTAAGATAAAGGGATTTCTTGCAAGTATCTTACAACACATGGATGAAATGTCATTCATCATTCATTAAAAGTGACATGAGCAAATGAACTAATATAAGACTTGTTACTTATTGGCAGCCTCACAGATAAAAGTGCTAATTGCTGTGACAGGCATGAGTGCTGAAAGACATGAGTTATGAGGGAATTTATCACATTATAGCAGTTGTTTTATACCAAAGCTTTCACTATGCATTCCTTCTTTTGAGGTGAGGTGCAGGATTGAGGAAGGAATGTCGTATTCCCAATGTTAAGTCCACATGATAGAGAGCTCCTTCATTATGAGCCTAGCCAGTGTGTGAGCAGGATTAGGTATGATGTGGTGTGGCTGAGAGGATTTTTACAATTAATCCTGAGCATCTTCCAAAGATTTATTTGCCCAATAGCTTCCTGAGCCAGATGTCGTCTTCAGTCAGCCCGTTTCTTTGGAGTGTACTAGTGCCACAGTGCCATGAAACTAGGGCTTGATCTTCTTGCAGCTACAAAATTGCATTTTTTTGAGATATGCTTTTGCTCATATGGTGCCCCAGGAATGTTTACTGACACCTGGAAATGTTACCAGCCTTCTAAAAATTGTGTGTGCATGCCTGGACTTAACTTCCAAAGATCCTGGCTCAGTTAAGTGTGTTCCCGCCTCTGATTTCCTGATGCTAGGTATGCCTATAGAGCAGCAAAACCTGTTACAGCCTTGGTCTGTGGGGACTCAGGGAGATAGCACAGGTAGAACGTGGTCTCCAGCTAGAGCAGGTGCTTCTGATTTATAACAAAAGCTGGAAAATCCTGTATGCCCAGCTCTAACACTTGTCTGTCAGGAACTTCCAAGCAAGCCACTCAGGTGAACCAAGGTTCTTTACACTAAGGTTCTGGCTTAGTCTTTTTTTTTTTTTTTTTTTTTTTCTGTTGGGGAGGGAGGGGAGAGAAGAAAAAGAGGAGCCTATTTTTGTTTCTTTTTTTTTTTTTCCTGTGAATTGGAATTGATCTGTTTTGCAGAATTCCCATCCATCTTTGAGAATGGTTGAGGTTGGAGGGGACTTCTGGAAATTATTTGGTTCAGTCACCCTACTCAGAGCAGAGTGATCTGGAACAGATTGCTCTGATCCTTGTCCAGCTGGGTCTTTGAAATCTCCAAGCATGGAGACTCCACAACTGTTCTGGGCAACCTGTTTTCTTTTTCCCCCAAAAAATGTCCTTCTCTTTAAAAAGAATTTCCTTTATTTCACTTTCTGTCCATTGCCTCTTGTCCTTTTGCTGGGCACCACTGAGAAGAATCTGGGTTCATCTTTTTTCAACACACTCCACCACCAATCAGGCTAGTAAGATCCATACTGAGCCTTCTTTTCTTGAGGCTAAACAGTCACAGTGTTTTGCACTTCTCCTTGATGGCAGATGCTCCAATCCCATCATCGTTTTCATAGTCCTTCAGTGCACTTGCTCCAGTATGTCCATACCTTTCTCTGTACTACATAACCCATAACTGGACCCAGGGCTGAGCACAGGGGAAGAAACTCCTTCCTCAACCTGCTTATAATGTTTTTCATAGTGCAGCCCCTGATGCTGTTGGTCATCTTTGCTGCAAGGGCATGTTGCTGGCTGATGATCAACTCAGTGTCCACCAGCCATCTCTGAAAAGATGGTCAGCCCCCAGTGTGTCCTGATGTGCGTAGGTATTTGTTCCAAGTTGCAGGACTTGCCTCTTCCCCTTGTTGAACTTCAGAAGGTTTCTGTTGGGCCATTTCTCAAGTGTGTTGAGGTGGCTCTTGAGTGGCCTTGGGGGGGGCACCAGCCCCTTCTTCTGTATCAGCCACTCCTCCCCGTTCTGTATTCTGTGCAGACTTGCTGAGGGGGCATTGTGTCCTGTCATCCAGGTCACTAACGAAGATGTCAAACAGTATTGTCCCCACTGTCAAGCCCTGGGCTTGATCATTAGTTACTGGTCTCCAGGTAGACTTTGCACTGCTGATCGCAACCATGTGAGCCCCACATTTGAGGAGTTTTCAGTCCACCTCACTGTCAGTTTCCTAGCCCGGACTGCATCAGTTTGCCTGTGAGGATTTTACAGGGAATGGTGTTAAAAACCTTGTTAAAGCCGATATAAACCACATTGCCTACTCTCTGCTTTTCCACCCAGCTAGTCATCTCATCACAGAAGACTGTCAGACTGATTAAGTATTACTTGCCCTTCATAAAACCATCATAACCCTATTATTAAAGCTGTCTGCCTCCTCCTTCAGTAAGGATGAAGTATAGCAGCTAGTTATCAAAACCAAAACTTCAGAATTTTACAGATTAATTGCTCCCTCTGCTTCCCCACCAAATTATAGACTCACATTGGGTATATTTACTTGGGCCTTGAAGCAAGTAGAAGATAAAAGGTCCTACAGCCATAGTCTTAGGCTATGGCTGCTTGTTTGGCTACAATAGTATATTAAAGGAGTTCCTGCCTTACAAGGCAAGGTACCTGCTGTCTTGCTCTCCCCTCACTGGCCCTGTATTTTACCAGCACAGCTGTTGCTTTGTCAGTACAGTGAACTAAATCATTTAATAGACGAGGCTGGAAAAATAATCCAGGAAGACGTGGGAAACTCTTGGGTTTCAGATGGATCACTTCCCACTCTGATTTACCATCCAGCTTCATAGGCAAATGGACTAGCTTAGTAACAGGAATGCAGGAAGGGAAGAGTGTGCAAGCCAGCACTGCTGCTGTTGAAATTCCTATAGAAACAAAATGTGGAAGTATCTGCATCTTTTGAAGTGCTGCAGACACCAACAGTTGTTTTCTTTCTGCCATTGTCAAGCATTCCTTACAAAAACCCACTTGCCTTTCTAATCTGATTGAGAAAGAAGCAATGATTTACAAAATTCTACTTCTGGGGGCTTTAAAAAGACTGTGGAACAGTCCAGAGTGAACTTATTGAGGCTGCCACAGTTCTGCCTTCTCCTTTCCATTGTTGTAACTACTTCTGCCATGTTTAGGGAGCAGGTGAAAGAACAGAACCCTGGCAGCCCTGGCAGATATTGTCTCGGGCTGCTGTGGAGTTACATCCTGACTTCACAGAATCACAGTATCATTAGGATTGCAAAAGACATTTAAGATCATCAGGTCAACCGTTAACCCAACACCACCATGTCCCCAAATGCCACATCTACATGTTTTTTGAACACTTCCAGTGATGGTGACTCCATCACCTCCCTAAAATCAATGGAGCAGTTTTTAGTCTAGCAGGAGAATATAATGCGTGTCACTATGCTGGCATATACTTCAATCGCTTTATAGGGGTAAAAACCTGCCCAAATAGCAGCATTTGTAGTGCATAGTTTTTGGACTTGAGTGATGGGATGTAGGTGAGTTCTTGAGTCTGAAATGGTTCATTGGACAAACTTTGGAAAGATCAGTCAGCTAAATCTTTACACATTCTATGGTTTGTAGAGTATCTATGAATTCCTGTTTGGCAAGCATGCTTGCATTTTCCTTGGCTGGAGGTTTTAACATCCTTGTTGTCTCTCCTTCACAAGAGAACAGGGTACTAGAGAAGTCTGTTTCCCTAGTGTTTTGATCAAGAGATAATGTGTTTTCCTTGTAGCATAAATTAAAAGTTAGTGATAAGCTGAGTTGCATTCTATTTTTAGTATGTGTTTAGTTTGCATAGTTATGTTTTAATAGCACATTTTCTAGTAATAAGAAATTAGAACCTTACTTAGATCATGTATATACTTGTTAGTTTGAGTTAAAGTTACTCAGGCTTTTTCTAGCCAGCTCTCTATTTTGTGTCTAAGATAAACAAATGGACAAACTACCTTCTTTATTTTCCCCCTCTATTGACCTTCTAGACATCTGTGCTCATGCTCAGACTAATGTTTTACTTATCTGGACAGTGCTTAAGGGGCTCAGCATTTGAGAGAAAGAGACTATTTTGCAGGTTTGTGCATGGAAAAACTTAAGCAGCAAAACACAGAAATCAACCTACCTATAGTGTGTTGAATTTGGCTACTAGGGATGCATTCAACAGTGCTGAAATAAGGAGAATACTCTTCGTTATTTGTAGAGAAACTCTGCAAAACCTGCTACAAAGAAAGAGACTTTAGTAGGAAAAAGTAAAAAAAAGTCAAGCATTAGATGAGGTATAAGAGAACATGCAATCTGTAAATTTGCCTGGAAGTCAGGTTTTCTTCTTAATTAGTTGGTATTCAGTTAGCTTCATTTGGCTGTTAATTTTCGTCAGAGCTGGTACTTGGAAGATGTCAGAGGTGCTACATGGCTCACTGTGGAAGGGGTGAAGCTGTCAATAACAGCATCGGATTGAAGAGAAGCGATGAGAAGCAGCAGCGTTGGGAAGATGATAAATGGCTGGACTCTATGTTGAGAAGCTACAGTCCCTTTTCAAAATATGTGCTAATTTAGTATGTACTTAGCTGCCTAACTGTAAGAACCTTAACTGGAAAACCTTGAAACTGTAGGTCATTTATGCTGACCTGGTTTCACTTGCTATAAATCCTTTTATAGTTTCTTCAGCAAACTCGATGAAACACTGGAGCAGGGTTTTTTGCAACAAAATTACATGGTTCAAAGAAATCCAAAACAGAAATCACAGAGGACAGAAAACCTGGACGTGAGTTGGATATAAACCGCCCTGGTCAAGAATGCACTATTAGTGACTGATGTGCACATGACTTTGAACATACCCTTGCTGTTGACTGGGCCTTCTCTGAGAATATTCTTTCTCTTTGTGGGGGTTAGAGTATGATTTCAAATGTTAAATGTAGGAAATTGCAGCTGTTAGTGAGTTTGATACTGCACCAGCAATTACTTCTTACAAGTAGGAATGTTTTTTTAATTTTTATGTGTTGCTATGTTAGATTTACCTGCAAGAGTCTCTTAACAGAAGTGCATTGACTTTTTTAGATAGACAAAGACAAAGATAATGATGATGTGCTGTTATTTATCCCTGATTAGTTTTTTCTCACTCTCATATGATGAGCAGCCAAGGAGAGTACTGCCTGAAAGGTTTTAAATTTTTCCACAAAGGTTCATTTGAAAGATACAGTGGCTACTAAATTAGCTCTTTATGTGTTGATCATAAGAGGTAGTGTGTGCACTATCTTCACAGGTTGCTGCAGTAATCCATTCACTGCTTCTGCTATCTTCTCCTGTAAAGGAAGAACATCAGCTACATTTTTCTCTCCCATAGTGTTCTAGCTCTTACCCCTCTCAACTTTCCTCTACTGGCTTGCAGTGAGCAGTGCATCTCTTGAGACTGTTGTTAAGTTGTAGGAAGTGCTTGACTGGTTCCTGAAAGGGAGGACTAACAGGCCAATTTTTCTGCCCCATATCCTTTCCGCTGTGACTTTCCAAGTACAAGAGCTGAAACAGCTATTGGTCAAACTCCTGATAAAGCGTATACTAGGGAATAGGAAAGTAAACCTGTTTGAAGTACTGTGTTTTAGATTAAATCAAACATAAAACTGCAGTTTCATAAGCATGATTGGAGTTAATGCAGATAACAGCCCAGGCTCACTGTCAGTTTGCTGAAGGTAACGATTTTTTATCATGGAGTTTTGAAGTGTGGAAGACAGAAGATGGAGCCCTTGGCTCTCACACTCTACGTGATGCTCTTAACAGAAGGTAAATCTAAGAAAATTAGTTGTTCTACATCATTGGGATACTGGAAATATTTGCAATAGGCAAGGGTTAGCAATTCTTGGATGACAGTGGGCTTCCTGAAATTGCATAGTTAGGTACTGTAGGGATTGAGAGCAGATCTTTACCTTACCCCATTATATTTTGCTGTGCTAATTGATATCACTGTAGATTTAAATACAGATCATTGGCAGCATGCTCAACAAAATGCCCTTGACTCTGGAATGAGTATTACCTATTCAGGGTAATACTCAGGGGAGGAGGGAACAAACAAACTGTATCTGTAATCTTCTTGGCCATGATGCAAATTTTGTGTTTTATCTCTTGTGTATATTGAGCCACTACGAGGTGCTGTAGTTGCATAAGGGAGTCATATTGTGCTAATGTGGTATGTTTTTAATATGTTTTGATATGTTTTGATATGTTTTGAACTATGTAAGTATATTTCTGGTCATTTAGGCTAGGTAATGCTTTGTATGTCTAAAATTAAACAAATCAAATACATATGCAGTTATTTAAAAAGAGAGAATAGTTCTAATCTGTAGAGCAAAAATCTTTTCTGCCTTATGCTAGAAAATGAAAAGATGTAGTAAAAGCAAAATGCACTGTTTCAAAATGAATAAATAACAAAACCCCAGTTTAAAAGCATTAGACCTTTTTCCATTATGCAATATGCAGCTCAGTTTTCATATAATTATCAGAATAACTAGCATATGATGGAACACAATAATTACACTTTTAAACATGCATGCTTGACTAGAAAGCCTCATTAATAAAAGCACTTTTCTAAAAGTACTAAAATATTTTACCACACCTCTTGGAAAGTCTATAACAGCTGTCAGTGCAGTGATTAATTTGGAAATACAGTGCTGTAGCTAAGGCTCTGTCAAATGTGTTTAGCAGAAATTACAATGGTTTGAAGTTCTTGTTTGTTTGTTTGTTTTTTGGCGTTTTCTTTCACCCAGCTCTGAACATAAATCTGAACTCTCCTTCTTGGCTGCAGTCTCCCTACTTATGATCTTCTTTCTGGTTCAAAGAAGATGCTCCCTGGTTTCAAAAATTGCTATGGCACTTGGGCTCCTGGGAGTCTACAGTTACCGGGCAGCTATTGGAAATGTCATATTTCCATGGCAACATGACAGCAAAGATATTTCAAAGTAAGTTAATCAGCAGATATGTAAATCTATTGCTAGAGAGGTCTTAACGTTTTGGATATCAGGGGTTGAGGTGGGAGGGAATGTTATGTCTAGGCTGGAATCACATTCTTAGTAATAAAGCTCTATTTTGTAGGTGGCCAGCACTCAGTTTTTGTGGTGTGTGTGTAATTTTGAGACCCATGAAGTGTCTTTCGACTGTGACAGATCGGAAGCCAGTCAGATAAGAATTCATATGAGGAAAATCTAATAGTCATACCCTGTATTTTTGCCATTTGTTTTTGAAGAAACTCCAAATGCGCCACCTCCTCTTGTTTTAGATGGACTTGCCACATTTAACAGAGTGCATGCCAAGCTCATTTAGTTACTTCCTAGTTTTGAAAAACGCTTAGGCAATAATTGGGAGAGTTGCTTTTCCATATTTTTCTTTTGCAGGTGAGTGTTCTGTAATGTATGACCTTTCAAGATGGAACCAAATCCTTCTTGAGGTCTAGGCTGTGCTGCACAATGCATACTAAGGACTTCTACGTGGCTGTTAAGTTTCTTACAGAACTACTCTGTAACTGTAAGGAAGCTATTAGCTCTTTCACCAAAGCTACTTTTGGAATGTAGCTAAGTAGCTTTAGTTTTCTTATAAATTCTTTTTACTGTTGGATTGTACCTCATTCTGCAGCCTCAAGTTTTTCTACATGTCAGAGAGCTGCCGAAAACTTCCAGAGTCAGTTAGGACATTTGATGAGGAGGAAGGGATCATGGAAGAAAAGTTGTAACTAAACAGTTGTCTTCTGGGTGTAATGAACTTTCTCTCGCACTCATTTTGAATTTGATATGGACACAGATGGTTTCTGTTGGAGCTTCTTAATCAGGGGATGGAGATTCACAAGATGTGCAGAGATGGAAAAAACCCTGCAGGAGAAGATCTTAGGACATTACACTAATATACTAGTGTTAATTTAACATTGTGTGCTACTTCTGCTGGATGCAAAAGTAATGGTAATTTGTATTTAGTCTTCAGGATTTGGTTCTGTGTTTGAAACACGCCTGATTTCTGAGTGTGACCTCTGGTTTTGCTTTGTGTTTGAGTAGAATCCTTGGAGAAGAATACTGTCCTTGCAATAAGATGAAAAATATTGCAATGTGGGACAGAACATTAAATACAGCAAATGACCTGCAAGTAAAATGCAATTAGAGAAATAAATGGAGTACTTATAGACTAAAGGCAAAGCATTTACTGGGAACTTGTTCATTCTATAGTCAGCATATTGATTGCAATTATAACAAGAAAGATACAGGCTTTTTGTGTTATTTCACCTTAAATAAACAGTGAACATGGTGATTTGCCTGAATTATGTCAGACCTTTATATATCTCTGATTATATACTGGTTTAAAAGTTATGGTCGTGTTTCAAAGCTATATACCCTTTAGATCCTCTGTGTAAGCTGTTTGGTGAAAGCTGGTAGGGTTAGCAAATGCAGATTCTGACCTTTGTGTCAGCATGTGTTCTGCACCTGGGGTGGGAAATGTGGTGCAGGGCTCCTTCCAGATCTCAGTAAGAAAAGATCAACAACAAATGTGTAATAAAATAGCTGTTTTCATAAGATAGAGTAAAAAGAGGAATATAAGTAGCGAGTGCCTTCAGATGCTGGGAACTGTGCTTTTGTGCAGCATCAAACAAACCGCAGATGAATCTTCCCATAGCACGCTGTGGCACAGAGGACCTAACCGTGGAGAGGTTCTGCCTCCCTCTCATATGATGGTGCTTTTTATTTTATGTAAAAAAACCCAAAGAAACCCACAACCAAAAGAAACTCATGTGTGTACTCCTGCCAGGTCAGAATGTTATGTCTGTCATAACGCCCAACAGAGCACAGTATAGGCCAGCGCAGGGTTTCCAGCATGGTCCCTTGCAGCAGCTGCTCATGCTAATGTGGGCTTCAGTCGTTGTTTACTCATTTGATTGTTTGCATCAATGAAAATGAAAAAAATATGCTGGTATAAACCAGCATATCTGTATATCTGTGCAGCTGTATAAGGTGAGAAAATGTCTGAAGTACGCAGAAATTTCAGACCGAAGTAAGTATCTTCAAGTACTATCTTTTTGGTTGGCTAAAAAGAAACACATGTTTCTGTGAATGTGTTGTGAAAAAATCACAGAGCAGCTTAAAGGTAATAGTAATTTTTAAGTCAATTTAATTCCTGAAATAAAGTTTCTGTATCACTCTAAGGAGTATTTTGGGGAAAATTAATTATGATATATAAATGGCATATTTATATGAATGTATTTATGGATCTAGACTTTGAATAGTAATAACATAAATTTATTTTGGTTACATTAATTGACATATACTTTTTTTTTGTTAGTTTAGTTTTTAGCACAAGTTGTTTTCTTTGCTAAAGTTGATCTGGAGGTGCTGTAATTTGAGTATGAACCATTTTTTGAGATTTTTGTATTTGAGAAAGCTCTCTCATGAAATTGGCTGGTACTAGCCTTAGAATTTAACCTGTCTGGCAGAGCTGCGTTGGTCTTGCACTTCTCTTGAAAGACTTTTTGACCTGTGAAATAGATACTAGTAAGTAGCTCATCTTTCTGTTTTACTTACTAATTATTATAACTTTTTTTTTTTAATTTCCTCTTTAGGGGGATTACTGAAGCTCGTTTTGTTTATGTCTTTGTTCTTGGCATAGTCTTCACTGGCACTAAAGATTTACTAAAGTCACAGGTTATTTCTGCAGACTCCAGTGTGAAGAGTACAGGATTATGGGAAGTTTATAGTGGACTGGTTCTACTAGCAGCCCTTCTATTTAGACCTCACAATTTACCAGTCTTGGTGCTTTGTCTGCTGATTCAGACAATGATGACAAAATATATCTGGAGACCTCTGAAATTTGATGCAGCACAGATTACTATCATGCACTACTGGTTTGGCCAAGCTTTCTTCTATTTTCAGGTAAGCCAAATACTCTCCTTGCTACAGGGGTGGGAGGGGGAATAATTTTTGAAAGAAATATTGTCCATTGTGAGTAGAGAAGTGATTGTGCCGCTGTACTCAGCACTGGTGAGGCCACACCTCAAATACTGTGTTCAG